AAAAGTGATAAAAGAATTTTTTATGTCACAGATAATTTTAATTTTAAGAAAATACTTTTACTTGCCTTTCACTCTGACATTCTCCATGATTCTACATTTTAATGGGAACCAAGTTATATATTGGTTTAGAAGTAAATTTTGAAGAGTTCAGCCTCTGATATGTTGCAGTAAATACAGACATTTACAGGCCTGTAAATGTCACTCGGTAGCCTGCAGATTCAAGTCTTTGAATTCCAATACTTTGAATACCAGAGAAGAATGCACTAATTTCTATCCTTTTTTATAGCCTAAAGATGAGGCTTGGCTACAATGTGGGAACAACAAAAAATATTTTTCTATATAGAATTTTTTTAGTTTTATTATACTATAATGATATTATGGATTTAAAACGATCTGAAGATATAATTAAAGTATTTTGTATACTATAGATCTCATAATTTTGTTTCGCTCAGTTAAGTTAAAATAACGTGAAATTTTCTTTGAAAAAAGGGAAATCTCAATAAGTTGCTTCTCTATAAGCATTTTTGTCACTATACTTTATTTGATTGGTTTTTCTGTTTTGTTTTGTTTTGTTTTGTTTTTGCTTTTTTGGGGTCATACCTGGTAATGCACAGGGGTTACTCCTGGCTCTGCACTCAGGAATTACCCCTAGCAGTGCTGAGGGGACCATAGGGGATGCTGGGAATAGAACCTGGGTCGGCCGTGTGCAAGGCAAACGCTCTACCCACTGTGCTATTGCTCCAGCTCCGTGTCACTATACTTTATAATGTTGTAGCAGTTATCCAGCAGATGACAAGAAACTATTGGCCTAAAATTGTTATTACCAATGATTATCAAAGGATTCAATTACTTCTTTTCTTCTTAAGCTTGAAGTCGTCGGGATGTGTCTTTTCCTTGTTTTATTAATCTGTGTGCATTGGGAAGATAGTAGATACATCTTTGAAGATAGGATGTAATATTTCAAAAGAGAGTATCTATAGACGGCATACTAATAAGCTCCATCTCATTAACTTAGTTTTAAATTGGTAATATGAAGCCATATATTTTATGAAATAGATATGAAATGGACTTGCCAGGATATTCAAAGGAGGCCAGAGTTGAAAATTTCCTTAATTAGGAGGAGGTGTACTCTGACATACGGCTAGGGAGCCTGAAGGATGGGAAGAAAACAAGGTTGGGAAGGGGCTACGGTTGGAAAAAGGTTGAAAACACTTGGCTAGAGGAAAAGAAATGCATTTATTTAACTTTTGCCTCCCAGAATTTTCTTCTTTTTAGGATTTATTTGGGAGTGTATAAATTCATCTATAACATATATATTTATTTATACAGTATAAATAAAATTAATTTATTTTTTTTCCTTTTTTGGTCACACCCAACTGGAGCGATAGCACAGCGGGTAGGGCATTTGCTTTGTACACAGGGTTCAAGTACTCTGCCCTTCTCAGAGAGGCCAGCAAGATACCCAGAGTTTCCCGCCCGCATGGCAGAGCCTGGCAAGCTCCCCGTGGGCTATTTGATACGCCAAAAATAGTAACAACCTGTCTCACAATGGAGACATTACTGGTGCCTGCTCGAACAAATCGATGAACAACAGGAGGATAGTGCTACAGTACTACTAAATAAAATTAAGTTCCTTTATCTCAAAAGCAAAACTCTTTAAGTTACCTCTCTCATTATTGGTTTGATTGTTACCAGTAACAATACAGGTACCGTGATCTTCGTTTGGAGAAATAACTTTTTAAAATATTAAAATAACAAAGGATTTAAGACCCCTGTATCAGAGAAAAAAATATATCATTATCATTGCTATCGTTATATTTTGGCCACACTTGGAGGTACTCAAGTTTTACTTCTGACTTTGTGGTTAGTAATCACTTCCTGCAGGGCTCAGGGTACCATAATGTGGTGCTAGGGATTTAACCCAAATCAACAATATGCAAGCCAAGTGCTCTATCTGCTGTAGCTATTGCCCTGGCCCCATACAAAGGGCATTAAAATTAACTGCACCGTGAATATTGGCATAGATGGGTCAGTTCCTCTTATTCTCATGAATCTTGAAGGCCAAAAGAAGGAAAGTACTTGCACAACAGCAGGTCAGCTTCAGGAAAGGAATATAAAGCATAGGGAACTACATCTTTTATAATAGACAAAAGGCAAATTTGTGTTTTGCTACAAAGTAAGACACTGTTTTCATAATTACTAGTAGCAATTTTGTCCACTATTTACTTCAAGGAGAATCACTATTCCAAAACTATTTTCTATACAAACACCCCTGACAAATAGTCTGCAACATAGGGTTGCCAGTGATTAATTTCATAAGCAGTGCAGGATTGATAGTAATCCACTGAGAATTGTCTACTATGAGTCCTACTCTTGAATCTATTTAATACGCAGTTTAAAAGAGCGATTTTCCTCTTTACTCTGTTAAAAAATTATTCTACTCTATGTGAAGCAGAAATTTGATCTTGAGGTCAAATAAAATGTTCTTGTCTGATTGCAAAGCTCAGCTTCCTCAGAGAGAGCATAAGGATATGAGTCTGACATTTGGAATGTGAGTGTGACAGGAGAGGACTAGTCCTACCAACCTAAAATCATTTTCCTGGGTGGATAAGTTAGATTTTATTCTACAGTATGTGGAACTGGATCATTAGGGACAAAGGAACAGATTTCTTACCTGAGCTTCTTGGGAGGCAGGCTATGGGTGGAGGTGGTTAACAGGAGGAAACTTGACGACAGGTGGAAAGAAGTTGACACTGCTGGTGGGACAGTTGCAAAAACATTGTATGCCTAAAACTCAATTATGAATAACTGTAAATCACAGTACCTTAATAAAAATAAAATTATAATTAAAAATACTTTTCAAACTATTTAAAATACCCCCAATCCTTTTAAAGTCTTAAATCTGAAAATATTGTGAATCTTAACTTTTTAACTTCTCTTACTTTCTTTTTTAAAATTGAATCACAGATACACAGTTACAAAATTATTCATGATTGGGTTTCAGTCATATAATGTTTCCAACACCAGTGAAGGGTCTGGTGTTGGAATCTCAACTTTCCTTAAATGCTTTAATATTTATTTATTTATTTATTTATTTATTTATTTATTTTTTATTAGAGAAACACCATGAGGTACAGTTGTAGACTTACAAATTTTTGTGCTTGGGTTTCAGTTATACAATGATCAAGTACCCATCCCTCCACCAGTGCCCATTCTCCACCACCACTGATCCCAGTATACCTCCTGCCCCCCATCCCCCCATCCCACCCTGCCTCTGTGGCAGGGCATTCCCTTTTGTTCTCTCTCTCTCTCTTTGGGTGCTGTGGTTTGCAAAAGAGGCATTGAGTGGCAATCATGTTCAATCTATAGTCGACTTTCAGCATGCATCTCCCATCCTGGGAGGATTCTCCCAACACCCTTTACTTGGTGCTGCCTTCTCTATCTGAGCTGCCTTTCCCCCTAGCATGTGCGGCCGGCCTTCAAGTCATGGAATGAACCTACTGGTACTTATCTCGGCTATTCTTGGACATTTTTCGTCTCTTATCTTGTTACTTTATATTCCCCAGATAAATGAAATCTTTCTATGTCTGTCCCTCTCTTTCTGACTCATTTCGTTTAGCATGATACTTTCCATGTAGTACCACCTGTATGTAAATTTCATGACTTCATCTTGTCTAACAATGCTTTAATATTTAATCTATAGCACTATAGCACTGTCCTCCCCTTGGTCATCGATTTTCTCGAGCGGGCACCAGTAACATCTCCATTGTGAGACTTGTAACTGTGTTTGTCATATCAAATACACCACCGGGAGCTTGCCAGGCTCTGCCATGTGGGCAGGATACTCTCAGTAGCTTACCGGGCTGTCCAGAGGAATCAAACCCTGTCAGCCACTTACAACGCAAATGCCCTATCCACTGTGCTATCGCTATGTAAATGAAATAAAAATTTTGTTTTTTATACATTTATTATCCAGTTTATGAACTGTGACTTACAAATGTGTTGATAGTTGAATTTCAGGCATATAACATTTCAATACCAATCCCACTGCCGGTGTCTACTTCTGTCCATCAGAGTTCCCATATTCTTCCCTACTCCCAATTCCTACCCCATCCCTCTCCTGTCAATTTGACAGGCACGTTACAAAGTTTCAGTGGTTGTGGCTTAGATGTTGTCAAGTCTGTGTTCTGAACATATGGCTCTACCACTTACTTATGTCACCAGTATAACTGAAGTCCTGACCCATGTTCACCCATTACTTGCCTTTCTCTTCTTCCCCACTTTGATTTCTTTTCTTCTCTGACCACTGTGTCTATATACCACATCTTCACTCCAAAAAATAGTTTGACAGGCGCCTGACTGGAGTAATAATACAGCAGGTAGGGTATTTGCCTTACATGTGGCTCACCCAGGTTCTATCCCAGGAATTCCATATGGTCCCCAGAGCACTATCAGGACTAATTCTTGAGTGCAGGGTCAAGAATAACCACTGAACATTGCCAGATGTGGCCTTCCAAAACAAATGGAAAAAAAAGTGTTGACAAGAGATGGAGTTCCAGTTATCTTAATCTCAAACATTGCAGATCAGCCAAAATTTAAATAATCTATAGTTTGACATGAGATTAAGTTTTGAGATTAGAAGATGGTTTCTTAATTCCTGTTTGCCTGCTTGGCCCAGGAAGCAAATCCCAAGAATTTGACAATTAAATTACTAACACATCCAGAATCCATGTAGTTATTGTCACTAATGCTGTTTACTTCCCATATGGTCCAATTAAAAAAATCAAAGTATTCTTCCATTAGATTAAGAATATCAAAGTACATTTTGCTGTAAATTCTTACAGTAAATTTCTTTGTGGGAGGTTTTTTTTTTTAATTGGATTATGTCACTATATGACAAGTGATTTTTTTTGTCTTTCACATTCAACAATTTTGTTTTGCCTACATTGTACGAAATATTAACTAAAGAGTGTTCTTTCTCTCTCCCTCTTTCTCATCAGTTACTTACAATGCCTCTTTGGATGCTATTATTTCCAGTACAACCAGCAGTACAAATACCCTGGTGTTGGCTTGGAGAGAGAAATCAAAAAATCATGTTAAGATGACATCCTTCAACATTGCCCAGGGCATTCATGCTTTTGATTGCCACTCTCGGCTCAATTTAATTGGTATGTAAAATAAATCCTGGTAAATATGAGCGCCTCATAAATAATCTGGGATGCCTATTTGTATGCATAGAATCTCTCCATCTTATTGCTTTATTGCTAGAGAGATCAACTTGAACAGCTCACATTTATTGCCTGAGAATGTATGATAATGATGCATCAAAGTGTGCAGCATATCTGTCTGAACTATAACACTGGGGTAAAGACATGATAAAGAGGCCAATGCCTAATGATTCCTTTTATTAAAGTTGGTGGAGGATGCAAATAATCTAGGAAAGAAGGCAGTTTCTGCCACATCTGCCATTCTACTATCTTTCTAACAACATCAAATGATCATCCCAAGCAATACATTATTTTTCCTGCTAGTGCATGTGCACATGCACACACACACACACACACACACACACACACATGCACACACATGCGTGAACACACACACATGCACACACAAATGCGCACACACACGCACACATATGCACAAAATCACACATGCACACACACACACACACACGAACTGAAAAATGTGTAACTTTTTAGTTCACTTTTCATAATACAACCTCTAATGCTCTTTGAAGTATTTTAGAGTATTCTAGCTTTAGTTGACTAAAAGAAAGCACTTCTGATGCAAAATTATATATTCTGACTGAGAAAAAATCTATAATGCTTTTATGATTAAACAGAATAAATATTTAGGGATACTGAAAGCAGATAACTATATATATGCAATCTTAGTTAAGGCATAAAAATGAGGTATCATTGAAAATTAATAGATAAAATAAATTAATAATGTCTATTAATATCATGAAATATTAATAGGGAAAATTTTATACAGGGAGTGAACATAAATGTCCTATAGAAGGGGTCCCATTAACCTTAATCTAATAATTTACACTTTACACCAGATGAGAACTTGTAAGTCATGAAATTTTCAACAAAAGTAACTGAAAATGATGGTAAAAGAAACAGTGAATATGAACTCAGAAATACATCCATGTTAAACTTTCATGGAGTATTGTAAATTTATTTGGAAAGGCTGGGGATTGGTAAATTGGGTTTGGAAGGATTTATGCATCAAACATTTCATTGATTCTGAGATTGTTTTAATTCCTATACACTGATCACTTCTTGATACCTGAAAAAATTAGAGGAAATAAGCTCAGTATTCTAGCTAGCTCTAAGTGAGGGAATGATGGTGTGGTAGAATTGAATTTCCACATTTAAGAAACACGGTTATTCTCTGCCCTTGAATATATGTTCTCTCAATATACCCATTTAATGTTAAACCCCTTCTACAGGACATTTGTATTCTTTCTGAATAAAATTTGCAATATGAATGGCTCATGATATCAATAAATTTTCATTCTCATAATAAGGTTGGTCAAAAGCTAACTTTTCTTGAAAATATTTGATTGTTTTCATCATAGTGAAAATAATTCATTTTCTTATATTTTAAACTCGTTTGGAAACTTTAAATGTTGTTTCAGTTCTTAGTGCTGGGTAACTTTGAACACAGTTTACAGTCCTAGGTTGTGTTGACTAAAGAGGCACGATATTGGGACGACATTGTCCCTTCTGGTTAGGGTCCTCAGTGGGACCATATTGTATTTCACCTCATGTATAATCCTCTTGTACTACTCTCTCCATTTTCAGCTATTTTTAATGGTAAGACTGAGCTGTTAAGCACTGACACAATTTTCCTTTTATGCTCAGAAGGCAGTTGCTAACCTCCAGATACTTTAAAATGTATTTCAAAAATGTTGTTACTCATGAAATTAGGTATCTGTAGATAACGAAGCCACTAGATCCAAGATGACTGAAAGCATAGGAACCAAACTACAGTAATTAAACTTTAAAATGTATCTATCAGGGAATCAGGAAGTGGGGATGGGTGAAGGAGGATGGGTGAAGGGGTGGCAGGATTAGAAGTGAGAAACACTCTCTGAAACACTATTGTAAAAAACTTTGTGAATCATGGTGTTGTAATAAAAATAAAACACTTTTTTTCCCTAATTCTGATCAGCAACTGCTGGGATTAATAATAAAGTTTGCCTTTGGAACCCCTATGTTGTTTCTAAACCAGTTGGTATCCTGTGGGGTCATTCAACCAGTGTACTAGCTGTTCAATTTTTTGCTGCAAAGAACCAACTTTTCAGCTTCTCTGAAGATAAAGTAAGTAACATTGTACAATAGATTTACTTAGTGATGTCTCCCAGGTTTCTACTCAGATCTATCCTTCATCTTCATTTGAGATTGAATTGCTAACTACCATGTCTTTGGAAATTTGTGTTTGGAAATTTTACTGATGGTCACTTATGTGACTAAACCACTGGACAAAGTATATAACCAAGTTCTTAAATTGTTTTTTTAACAATGTACTTATAAGTTTAATTCTTATTATTAGTTCTCAGTAGGGCTGAAGCGATAGCACAGTGGATAGGGCGTTTGCCTTGCATGCGGCCGACTGGGGTTCGATTCCTCCACCCCTCTTGGAGAGCCTGGCAAGCTACCCCTGCATGGCAGAGATTGGCAAACACCCCATGGCATATTGGACATGCCAAAAACATTAACAACAAGTCTCACAATGGAGATGGTTCCTGGTACCTGCTCAAGCAAACCGATGAACAACTGGAGGACAGTGCTACAGTGTTACAGTTCTCAGTAGTCACATCTTGACAGTTTCCAGGGTTCTCACTAATATAATGCAGGGGTTGAAGGCTGGGGGATGGGCAACTACAAACAGTAATGGAGATGAGGAAATGTGATTTTGGTAAGATGATAATCAGGTTTAGCCAATTGTCTATTATTGATTTGATATTTAAAATACAGTAAGTTAGAAACTGAAGTAAATTTGGAGAGTATCTAGTACACTAAGAATCAATCATGCTTATAACTCTATTTCTTTTTTGATGACATTTATGGAACATTTTATATATGGTGGTGAAAACATGGGAATGAAATCAGATGGTCTATTAAATCCTGATCAAGTCTTATATTTTATTTATTTATTTATTTATTTATTTATATTTTTGGGTCACACCATGCAGTTCCTGGGGATTGCTCCAGGCTTACTGGTTTTGCAGTCAGGGATCACTGCTTTGGGGTTGGGGAAATATATGGGGTGCAGGAATCAAGGCCAGGCCTGTCAAGTGCAAGGTGAGTGCCTTACTAACTCTATCTCTCCAGCCCCCAATCACACTGCATACCTCTTATAACTTCTTTTGGAAATTTATTGATCTTTAACTTTCTTAAAATTTGTTTACATGACAAATTTCTATTTTTAACATGATTGATTTAGAGATTTGGTTAACATAGCTCAGATTAGAAGAACCATGATTGTGAAGAGAAGTGGGTGAATAGATGTACTGAGGTTAGAAACTGAGACTTTCAGTGATTATGGCTTTTCATTTACCCTAAAGTGACACTGTCTCATATTAAGATATAGATAGATATTTATCATTTTTTTATTAGTGAAACACCATGAGGTAGAGTTGTAGACTTACAAATTTTTGTGCATGGGTTTCGGTCATACCATGATCAAATACCCATCCGTCCACCAGTGCCCATTTTCCACCACCATGGATAATATCCCTTCCCCCATCCCCCCATCCCCTCCTGCCACTGTGGCAGGGCATTCCCTTTTGTTCTCTCTCTCCTTTTGGGTGTTGTGGTCAGCAAAAGAGACATTGAGTGGCAAACATGTTCAGTCCATCGTCTACTTTCAACATGCATCTCCCTTCCTGGGAGGATCCTCCAAACACCCTCCATTTGGTGCTCCCTTCTCTATCTGAACTGCCCTTTCCCCTAGAATACCCGGCTGGCCTCTAAGCTATAGAGTAATCTTCCTGGTGTTGATCTCAGCTATTCTTGGGTATTAATCTCATATTTTGTTATTTTATATCCCCCAGATGAATGCAATCTTTCTATGTCTATCCCTCTCTTTCTGACTCATTTCGCTTAGCATGATACTTTCCATATTGTACCACTTGTATGTAAATTTCATGACTTCATCTTTTCTAAGAGCTATATAGTACTCCATTGTGTAGATGTACCAAAGTTTCTTTAACCAGTCATCTGTTCTTGGGCACTCAGGTTTCTTCCAGTTTCTGGCTACTGTAAAGAGTGCTGCAATGAACAAACAAGTGCAGATGTCACTTCGACTATACATTTTTGCCTCTCTGGGATATATTCCCAGGAGTGGTATTGCTGGGTCAAATGGGAACTCAATTTCTAATTTTTTGAGAAGCGTCCATACTGTTTTCCAAAAGGGCTGAACTAGTCGGCATTCCCACCAGCAATGAAGGAGTGTCCCTTTCTCGCCACATTCGTGCCAGCATCAGTTGCTTTTGTTCTTTTGAATGTGGGCCAGTCTCTGAGGTGTGAGATGGTATCTCATTGTGGTTTTGATCTGCATCTCCCTGATGATTAATGATGTAGAGCATTTTCTCATGTGCTTTTTTGCCATTTGGATTTCTTCTTTGAGAAAGTTTCTGTTCATTTCATTGCCCCATTTTTTGTTGGGGTTGGATGTTTTCTTCTTGTGGAGTTCAACCAGTACTTTGTATATCCTTGATATCAACCCCTTGTCAGATGTGTATTCGGCGAATATTCTTTCCCATTCTGTCGACTGTCTTTGTATTTTGGTCACTGTTTCTTTGGAGGTGCAGAAGCTTCTTAGTTTAAGATAGTCCCATTTATCTATCTCTGTTTTCACTTGCTCGGCCAGTGGCGTGGCATCTTTGAAAATACCATTAGCCTCAATGTCATGGAGGGTTTTGCCAACTTTGTCTTCAATATACCTTATGGTTTCTGGTCTGATGTTCTGGTCCTTAATCCATTTTGATCTTACCTTTGTACATGGTGTTAGGCAGAGTTATGAGCTCATTTTTTTGCATGTAGCCATCCATTGATGCCAGCACAATTTGTTAAAGAGGCTTTTCTTACTCCACTTCACATTTCTTGCAACTTTATCAAAAATTAGATGATCATATGATTGAGGGGAGATGTCAGTGTATTCAACCCTGTTCCATTGGTCTGCAGTTCTGCCTTTGTTCCAGTACCATGCTGTTTTGATTATTACTGCTTTGTAGTAAAGTTTGAAGTTAGGGAGGTTGATTCTTCCCATTTTCTTTTTCCCAAGAATTGCTTTAGCTATTTGTGGGGGCTTATTGTTCCATATAAATTTCAGGAGTGTTTGCTCCATTTCTTTGAAGAGACATTTATCATTTCTTAAGCCTCCCTGCAATCCTAGCTTATTTTACAATGTTTCCTGTCACAGAAATTTCACTTTTCTCTAAACTTTAGTAATTGCTAACTACTATTGTTTCATCACTTAGCAGGTTGAGCGCTTGCAAAGCATACTTCACATGCAGGAGGTCCAGCTGGAGCGATAGCACAGCAGTAGGGCATTTGCCTTGCATGCAACCAACATGTCTGACCCGAGTTCGATTCCTCCACCCCTCTTGGAGAGCCCGGCAAGCTACCGCGAGGATCTTGCCCGCACGGCAGAGCCTGGCAAGTTCCCTGTGACGTATTCGATATGCCAAACACAGTAACAACAAAGTCTCCAATGGAGACGTTACTGGGCCCGCTCGAGCAAATTGAAGATCAACGGGAGGGCCTTTACTTTACTTTATTGTTTCATCATTAAAAAATTTTTCTAGTTTTATTTTCTCCTTGGGTTGCCACTGCTCTAATTCAAAAATATTTTTTGTGCTCAAAATGCTAAAAATATTATAATATGGCTCCCAACTTTCCAGTTGATCTAGGTATTTCTTTACCTGAACTCAAACTGTAGCTAGCGGCTTTCTTAGCGCAAGTGTCGTGTTGGAGAGAGTTTCCTTAAGCAAGGTCAGCATTTTTCTTATTTGCCTATTTGGTATCTTAAGTGTTGAGCACCTTCTAGAATTTGTTCAATAATTATTTGTTGAAATATTGAAGTGAAGACATACTGCTTTGAATCTAAACTACTGAAGAATCTGAGAATCTGAGAAGCTTTTTATGCTTTCTTTTAAATATTATTTAATGTGTCTAAACTGTTAGTAGGATTTTAGAAATAAAATATTCCAGCTCCACGCCCTTCAGCCAAGTGTCTCCTTCACTTTAGTGTCCCTCTTCAATTACACTCCCTGAAATAAACTTAAAAATGAAAGCATGTTTTTTTTTGTAGTTTATTTTTTATTTTTTAATTTTTTTTCTTTTTTTATTAGTGAAAAACCATGAGGTACAGTTATAGGCTTACAAATTTTGTGCTTGGGTTTCAGTTATACAATGATCAAGTGCCCATCCCTCCACCAGTGCCCGTCATCCATCCCCACGGGTCCCAGCATCCCCCCCCAACCCTCATCCTCCCCCCCCCCGTCCCATCCTGCCTCTGTGGCAGGGTATTATGCCCCCAGAAAGTCAAATACCTCGGAATCAGCCTAACTAAAGAGGTAAAGGACCTCTACAATGAAAACTACAAAACGCTACTCCACGAAGTAAAAGAGGACATGAGGAAATGGAAACATATCCCCTGCTCATGGATTGGAAGAATTAACATTGTCAAAATGGCAATATTCCCCAAAGCATTATACAGATTCAATGTGATCCCTATAAGGACACCCACAAAATTCTTCAAAGAAATAAATCAAGCACTCCTGAAATTCATACGGAGCAACAAATGCCCATTAAAAAAAATGAAAGCATGTTTTCAGTTTCTTTGCATTTTGAGTATTTGTTATTTCCTTTACTGGGCTGGAGCGATAGCACAGCAGGTAGTGCATTTGCCTTGCACACGGCCGGCTGAACCAGTCCACCCAAGTTTGATTCCTCTGTCCCTCTCAGAGAGCCTGGCAAGCTCCCGAGAGTATCTTGCCCTCTCGGCAGAGCTTGGCACGCTACCTGTGACATATTCGATATGCCAAACACAATAACAACAAGTCTCACAATGTTACTGGGCCCACTTGAGCAAATCGATGAACAAAGGGAGGACAGTGACAGTGACAGTTATTCTCTTAATATGTATCTTTATATCCCACATATGAGAGAGACCATTCTGTGTTTGTCCCTCTTCTGACTAATTTCACTCAGCATTCTACTTTCCAATTCCATTCCATGTAGCAGCAAATATTATTGTATTTTTCCCCCTTAAAGTCAAGTAGTACTCATTTGTGTAAATGCAACACAATGGC